ATAGGTGTATAATATTTTACTAAATATTTGATTTTAATTAAAGAAAAATGATAGTTTGTGTATGTGCGTTTTTTCTTTTCTACGAAAAAAAGGAAAGGAATTATTTTAGCATTGAAAAGTTTAAGTGACATTCAATCCCATAAGACTTGAGTATATTGTAGCTTTGGTCAAAATCAAAGACTGCTTTGTTTATGTTGTCTTATGATTTTAAAATATCCATAAATATTTGAACTAAAATTTATTTCGAGATAAAATTTCATAAATGTGTTTTCTTCGGTTTTTCACAGTCGGAATCGTGCTTTAGTAAAAATGTATGTACGAGTGTGAGTATGTGTGTGTTTGTGAGTACATTTGGTAGAAAGATTTGGTCGATTGTGATAACACTATTTCACAACGTACATTTCTGTATAAACTGTAATTACTATTTTTAAATTAATTCAAATACTACGACTCTATACACGTTTATAAAGCTTGTGCCGCCTTTTTTTTTTTAACTGCGTCATTAGTTAATAATGTGTTAGTTTCAAATAAAGAAATCATAAATGATTTTTACCATTGTTTATTCATAAATTTTAAGAATGAGAAAACTTTTTAGACCTTTATTTGACGAACAGTCATTTACAAGCTCGTCGATGAACTTGAACTTGAACATTATTTTGTTTTCCTTCGTCTATTAACATTTTCATCCTAACTATTTGCATATTTTTTTAAAAGTAGTGAGATTTACAACTTTAAATAAAAACTTGTAACGTTGGTACCTAAATTGAGTTTTTACTCGGATTCTCTTTGTTTTAGTACTACTTATACAAATTTAATTTTTATCGCGATTGAAATTATAGTTAATAACTATAACTTTATCCTTTATGCTTTAGGCATAAAAAAGTTTATTATACTATATTCTATATGCTAAACTATTATATAGTATCTCGCTTTATGATTTTATGACAATAGAAGTGAAACAGATTATCCAATTCCAATTAATTGGAGGAAAATCTAAAAGTTTTTTTGTCTCTGATCGCATATACTTGCCTTTGGCTGTCCGTCAAAAAATCAAAACAAGTATATTGTGTGTACACATGTGAGTGTAAAAGATTAACGTTTGATATGCGATAAAGATATGTGAGTGCTTACATTAGTTGGGTATAAATAAACGATTTACGTTTCGTACCGATTTTAGTGAAGAAAGCACGGACCAACAAGCTACTCAAGACGTTGAAAGTCTTTTATAATTTATTTAAACGACAAAGTAGTTGTTTAACAAGTTACTCGTAAGGAAGCTAGTAGTGATAAAATGTTTAAAAAAAATTTTTCTCGTACGAAAGTGATGATGGGAAACGAAGATCGATCCACCAAAAACTCTTCTGCCAGCGTCATTGAAGTTTCTCCAGAAATTCCGAACGAAAGCGAAGCACAGGCGGATCCCGTTGAAATTAAAGTGTACAAAAAGAGATGGTTCATTTTGCTACAATTCACGTTACTTGCAACCGGAAATAAGTTCCAGTACCTCCAGTATACCATTATTCAAAGCATCGTAACAAGGTAGGAGGAATAAATTACATTACCCAACCAATGCGCCTCGCAAACAATATATCAAATAAATTTTTGTAATTCATTGAACAATCAGATACTACGACGTATCAACACTAGCAGTGCAGAGCACAGTCATTGTGTTCAATCTATCGGTGCCGATTATGATATACCCCTGCACTTTGATCATGAACCGCTGGGGCCTGCGACTCACCATGATACTAGTGTCATTGTCCACTTGTCTTGGCACGTGGATAAAATACATAGCAACGTCACCTGACACCTTTGTTTTGGCAGTTCTCGGCCAGACACTCGTCGGAGCCTGGCAAGGGGTAGTGATATCCCTGCCCGGAATACTTGCGGCACGATGGTTCGGGCCCAACGAAGTTGCCACGGCTACGGGTATGGGCTTCGTTGGTCAGAAGGTGGGCATGGCGGCAATGTCCTTTCTCGTGCCCGCCGTCGTTACAACGGAAGGTAAAGATATCGGGGACGGCTTGAAGAGTCTCCTACTACCCCAAGCGGTTTATTGTACCTGTACTATGCTCCTCATTTTCATTTGTGAGTATACGCATTTTTCTTGTTTTTCCGAAAAATCGTGGATTTTAAGGGATTTTCCTTGCTCCCGCGGAGAGTTGAAGGGGGGCACGTTCATGTGCATAAGGCGCCGTGACAAAGTCTGCTGTACTAACTTGCCCCAAAAATACCCGCTCTCTCGATTACGGTAAATGCATTTGTGCACTGTAAATCCAAGTGTTTTAAATTATACATATACAGCGTGTATTTTAACACACATAGGCGCGTTATATTTTCAAAGCACTTCAAATGTGTTAAAGTAACACGCGTAAGTCTGTTTTATAATATAATAATGCGTTTCTAGCATATAATTTTACACGCTTTATCCGTGTACATTATTAAATTCGTTTCTTGTATGTTATAAAACACACGTAATGCGCGTTTAAAGATTACACGCTTCAAATGTGTTGATTTAACACACTTGTACCGTATTATTAAAAAAACGCACCTAAACCGTTTATTTATTATCTCAGTATTCATTCGAAAGTCCAAGAGTGAACATCGTGAGCAACCAGTTAAAGTATACATCTTTCCTCATTTGGGCATTTAATGCTGTCTGAAGGGATATCAACCAATAACTGCTTTTTTGAGATTTACGTGCAAGAAATTTATAGTGAAAGCTTCCTGGGAGATGTTTGACCAAAAAGATGCGTGTCGTGCATCGCAAAGGTAGTTTGCTGTGTTGTGAGTCAGTGATAATGAGTCCGATAGGTGTATAATATTTTACTAAATATTTGATTTTAATTAAAGAAAAATGATAGTTTGTGTATGTGCGTTTTTTCTTTTCTACGAAAAAAAGGAATTATTTTAGCATTGAAAAGTTTAAGTGACATTCAATCCAAGAAGTTTTTAAAACAACTTTCAGTACTGGTACTTGAATCCGCTTGTTTTATTACTTTTTCTAAGTAATATACTTAAAAAAAATTACACAATACTCTTCAAGGTATCTAATTTCTTATAGTGTAAATCAAACAGCATAAATACTTCTTGTATGGGAGATAAAAAATAAGGAGTAAATGGCATAGTCAATCTGATCTTCTTTTGATAAACATGGCGACAACATCCATATAATGTTTTGTTACAACATATACATTTTTTTAAAAAGTTTTCATCGTTAAGTGCGCCCCAGCTCCCTAAGTCATGCATTTATTTGTACAGTTTTTAAGAGGGAGCCAAAACTACCACCAAGCAAATCCAGAGCACTGCAAAAGCTCAAAGAAATCGACAGTGACGGATTTTGGAGGTCCCTCTGTCAGCTTTTGAAAAACAAACATTATTGTTTGCTTTTTTTGGCTCAAAGTTTACTGATGGGCCNATATCATGTCGATATCGTAGTGTATGTATTTTTCTTCGTAATGTTACTCATAGGTCTAATTTTAACTGTTTTAACACAAGTGGGGAATAAAAGAGAAATTGCAGGTAAAGATAAAGGTAAAGATACCTCATTACAGACCAATGAGAAGTACTAAACAACTTTTTTTCGGGCTCGAGCAAAGGGTGTCTCTCTGTGTCCAGTTATAATTCAACAGTACTTTTACTAATCTTGATCAAGCTAGAAGTGAGTGTTTTTTTTTACTGATACTAAAATTGAACTTATTTTTTTTTCATTATTTTTTTTTTTTAAATCAACTTTTCCAAAAATTTCCAACAATCTTGTGTAGTTGCTAGTGATATACAAGGCACAGTTTGTAAAAACAGTTAGCTCCGATACGTCCATGCATTGAAAATAAAACTGATGCGAGCATGATAATTCACAAACTTGACATTTATTTCGACCGTCAATTTTCTTAATCACATATTTTCCATGAATCCGTCCAATAATCAAAAAGTTCGGACCGAAAGAGTATCGAAAAGAAATATCACATATACAATCGTACTACTACCCTCCATCTTCTCACTCAACTGCACAAAAAAATAAAGTACCCGCGACGAACCCGCGTAACGCGATTCAATCATTGCTCATACCCCACGTGTGGGTATACTGTACGTACACCCAACCCCAGAAGCGCGCAATTTCGTAATTACAGAAAACGGCCGTCATGCCCCAACTCACACGCCACTGCTCCACGGAATACGAAATAGCCGAGTAGGGGGACGGGGGTGAGAGCAGGTGGGGGGGGGGTGCGAAAAACTTCCGTAACGAAGTGTGCCGTGCCTCTGGTATTTACCAACAGGAGCACGCACGAGCCACCCCCCGCCTCTTGTACACACGTTCGCGTGACGCTGAACATCGCAGGGGCTTTGGCGAAACAAATGCTCCTTTGCCCACCTATACCCAAGTCACTTTGAGCGGTATACAGGTTGGGCACGGGTGCTATAATAAACGTCGGAGGCCATTTGTAAACTGCGGTCGGGCTGCTCGTCGTGAGCTTTGCTGCCGAGGAGAAGAAGAGGAAGCGCCGCATTTGCAAGTGGCTTCCGCGTGCACTTTGTCCCCGGTGCCCCTTCCCCCCTTGATGATGTTAATGAAGTTATAACACCTGTCGTCCCCCTGCCACTTGCAGAAAGACCTTGGCTCTTTTTCTTCCTCCCTCTTTCTCTCTTTCTCTCTCTCTCTCTCTCTGTCACGCTGTGGGGGTGCGAGCTGGTGAGATTCATCCGAGCGTTGTGGCGCTCAATCGGGTTAGCCGGTGGTGAATTTATACACTGTTAGCGTCGCGCGGGAGGGAACGCGAGAGTTGGCGAGGGTACGGTTTCGAGGAGCCGGATGGGTGTAGTTTGGAAATTTCGTTTGTCTACCCAATCGTATTACCATGCCGGGGTGTGCGCGTTATTGTTTTGCAAATTGGCTTTTGTTGGCTTTCGCTAAATGGTTACGCACGTAACACGTATACGAGAATAATAACACTCAATGTTTTTTCAAGCTTCGAAAAAATGTCGGGCTTTGGAGAAGTGATGATCAGCTGAAGAAGTAGAGATCTTGGTCTTAGATCACGCAAAAACTTACTATTTAGTCAGGGCTGCAGGTATTCAGAGATCAGTATCGGCCTTTGTTTTGGCAGTTCTCGGCCAGACACTCGTCGGAGCCTGGCAAGGGGTAGTGATATCCCTGCCCGGAATACTTGCGGCACGATGGTTCGGGCCCAACGAAGTTGCCACGGCTACGGGTATGGGCTTCGTTGGTCAGAAGGTGGGCATGGCGGCAATGTCCTTTCTCGTGCCCGC